TCTGCAATCCTGTACTTTATGTGTACAGTATGTACATTGGAGTACTGCTGTTCAGTTGGCTCGTTTGGGGCCAATATATAAAACATATCAAATATAAATATATAAAACTATTTATTTTATTTGGATGAATTTGTCTGACTTTTATCGGATTTACCCATTGTTATAACACCGCTAATACTTTCCTTAGTTTCTGGGAGCCAAAGCTAAGTTAAAGCTTCTGGTGGCAAAGCAGCTGGAGAGTTTTTGACTGCATCAATAATAATTTAGCACGAATTTGGCTATATTCCCCAACATCAGATCTCACTATCTTTGATCACAGGTAAGTGATTTCGTCCAGGAATCGTAAAATCAAAATGCTAAAAAAAAAAAAAAGCTTACCTACAGCATTCATTGGATGGATCTTGCTCTTTCAATTTACACTCCGTGTGCGCGACTGCGCGTGCATCCATGTTGCTTAGTAACCTACAGTCTTAGTAACAAACGTGCTTGCAGCGGGAATCACGTAATTTGCGCGGAAACACCAACATCCTAATTTCTGATTGGCTGGTAGGAGGCATTTAACTCAGTACTCGAGACAGCTATGAACTCGGCAGAGAGCTTCCCTCCGTATTTGTCCATTAATTATAGTAGGCAACCTTTTTTATCTCAAAATGCGAAAAAAAAGGTTGCCTACAGCATTCATCGGGTCTTGCTCTCCCAACTTGTGTGCGCTCATCCATGTTTTTATTTATTTATTTATTTATTTCCCCCCTTTATTCAGTTCCATCACACAAAGGCACAATGCAAACAGGGAAACATTGCACATCTCAAAGCATGCAAAACAGAACAACAGCAACAACAAAAACGCAAAATTAATACAAACATATATATATATATATATATATAAATAAAATAAAAATAACAGAATGAAAAGAAAAAAAAATACATACATTAGGGCAGTTACATAATTTTGAAAAGCTTTAGAATTGGTATTGTTTTTATTAGCTTCTTATTTTGTGATCTCATATTAGAAAGGGTTTCAAAGTATATTTTAAGATCAGTGTTACAAAATGTAATATATGATGGTTTCTTTTGAATTACTTTTGACTTGTGAATATAAAACCCACATGAAGTTATTAAAGACTCTGTTCATTTGACTACATGCATCAGTCGTGCTCC